ATGAGATACTGGGCTGATAATTTTTATCTGGATAATGGAAGTGAAAGAAACACCATTTTGTAGCAATCTCATTACCCGTTAGTTTAGCGAGATCCGAGTTCTTGTCCCATGAGCAAGGCATGTAAATACCAGAGAGTGAGTAAGGCAGAATAGGAATTATTAAGTGACAGAAAAGCTCTCAGCAGTGTGAGGGGACCCAAAGATGGTTGCAATAAATGGGGTTGAGTTTTGGGTCTTTTATGTGGCAGACAAAGAGTCTTCTGTGGGTTCTGTCTTAATGGGAGGGGTAAAGTTACCCCCGGGTTGTTGTGTCTATGCGTGCCCTGGGTTGACCATAGTGACTCCATCTTGATTACCCATGAGTGCCTAAATGAAACCCACAGGTAGGCTAAAATCACAATGCTAATCGCATTATAAGGAGTTCAGGGTCATGTTAGGATGTCCTAAGTCCTTATCTGCACCTATATAGGTAGCTAGAAAGTTCCTTCTGAGCAAGTATCTTGGTAAAAGAGGAAGTTATTAACCATATTTCTTCCTGCTAGCTGCATAACAGGGATGGTGCAGGTGTGTTCCAACAGGCATTGTCTGTCTTCTGAGACTCCCCCTATCTGCCTAAGTAGCCCCTACCAGCCTCCTCTCTAAATTTTACTGAATTTAGCAGGAAAAAAGATGTAATAAAATTATTACTATTTTATATGTAATAAGACATTTTCTGAATAGTCAATATGCATGTAAATCCACAGTATCATTTTTACTATATGGTTCTGTATGTTGTGGCAAATATAGGAAAGGTTTACCCAGAGATGACATTTTCATTTCACACTTGGAACTTTTTCTTCTACACTGCAATGAACCATGTTGAAATGGACAAGTTAACAGTAAATGATCCTCTATCCTTTTACTAATCCTGTGATTACGGAAAAAATGTATCTTCTATGGCAGTCATCATATGACATTCTTGAATTAAACAGTATTGCTTTAAAATTAGTACTAGTAACTAATAGAACTCAACATGCTAACATCTATTAAATTTGATCAATAGATGACCGTTGTATGTAAATTGGAGGTTTATATGTGGGTTAAATTAAAATTGCATGTCTTTTTGATTGTGAAAAAGTCTATATAAATAAATATGCATCACTCTATTACTATGTTCAGAAATTTATCTTTCCAATTTCCGTATGCCAATTTGAATTGTGAGGACCTGGTTATATAATGCCTGATCTACATCATGACTGAATGAATTCTGGGGCACTTAGATATTTCACAGATGGTGTTTATTTCATCAGATCATCATAGTACTCTTGAGAACCTATCAGGCCAGGGTGAATTAAATCAGGACCCCAGAGTGACCATGAAATATATGACTCATTCTCCCGCAAGACAGCAGTATCATGATTTTCAGGTCACTGTTCTGGATTCCACTGACTATCATTTGATTACTGAGAGTCTGAAAAGCCATTTAACATCTTCATTCCAATTTCAATTCTGTAAAATTGAGGGTAGCATTATTCATCTCAGAAAGAAGTGACAAATAGGTTTAAAAGTATTTTCTCCCATTCTGTATCTTGTGTCCTCACTTGGTTAATTGTTTTATTCGCTGTGCAAAAGGTTTGTAATTAGATGCACTCCAATTTCTTTATTTTTGCTTTTTTCGCCTGTGCTTCAGGGGTCATATTCCCCCCAAAAATGCCCAGATCAATTTCAAGAAGGTGTTTGCCTATGTTTTCTTCTAATAGTTTTATAGTTTTAGGTTTTACATGTAAATCTTTAATCCATTTTGACTTGGGCTTTGTATATGGTGTAAATTAGAGATCCAGTTTCATTCTTCTTCATGTAGATATCCAGTTTCCCCAACATCATTTATTGAAGAGTCTGTCCTTTCCTCATTGTGTATTCTTGGCATCTTTGTTGAAAATTAATTGACCATAAACGTGTGGATTGATTTCTGGGATATCTCTTCTGCACAATTGGTCTACACATTTATTTAGGGGTTGATATCCAATGTATATCAGGAATTTAAACACCTAAATAGCAAGAAAACAACCTAATTTAAAAGTGGACTCAGTCTATCTGTAATTAAAAATGATAAATATTTCTTGAAAGAAGACAAATGGCCAACAGGTATATTAAAAAGTGCTCACCTTCACAAATCATCAAGGAAATGTGAATCAAAATCACAATGAGATATCACTGCACACGTTGTAGGATGGCTATAATCAAAAAGACAAAAGATAAGTGTTGATGAGAATGTAGAGAAAACAGAATCCTTATATACTATTGATGGAAATGTAAATTGTTATAGCCTTTATGAAAAACAGTGTGTAGGTACTTCAAAAAATTAAAAATAGAACTACCATATGATCCAGGAATTTCACTTCTGGGTATGCCTATGTAAAAGAAATGAATCAGTATCTTAAAGAGGTATCTGTAGTCTCATCTTCCTTGTAGCACTATTCTCAATAACGAAGATATATGGAATTGGCCTAACTGCCAATCAGCAGGTGAATGGATAATAAGTAAATGTGGTATACATAAATATATAGTGGAATATTATTCAGCCTTGAAAATGAAAGAAACTCTGTCATTTGTGATGACATGTATGAACCTGGAGAAAATTATGCTAAGTGAAATAAGTGAGACATAGAAAGAAAAATACTATTTGATCTCGCTTATATGTGGAATCTAAGAAAGTCAAACTTCTAGAAGCAGAAAGTAGAATGGCAGTTGCCAGGAGCTAGGGAGATAGGAGAAGTGGGGAGATGTTGATCAAAGGGTGAAAAGTTTCAGTTATGCAGCAAGAGTCAATTCTGAAAATCTGCTGTACAGACAGATAACCACAGTTAACAATACTGTATTGTAAACTTGAAATTTTCTGTGGGAGTAAATCTTAAATTTTCTCACCACACAACACAGAAAGAGATAACTGTGAGATGATGGATGTGTTAATTAGCTTTATTGTGGTCATCATTTTACAATGTATACATATATCAAAACACCAGGTATGAGGGATACTAAAAAGCATGTTTTTTAATTTATTGTTTCAATGTTTACATTAAAAATAAATGATGAAACTTTAAAGCATTTGAGAACATTAGATTACTTTATCTCACTTTTTTCATCTATAGTATTTTAGAATGTATTTTAAAAATTTTGAAATAACTATAAAAGGAGGCTTCGTGGACTAAGTTGTTTACAACTCTTTAATTATATCTTAATATATTTTAACCATTTTTCAGCTTAAGACATTCATTAATGAATCAAATTTAATTTAGGGACTAAACAAAATCCTCATTAAACCTGACAAATGGTAGCCTCAGGTAAGCAAAATGTATTTTTCACACTAAATCAAAGTGAGTTCTGCTCTAGATGCTCCTTATGTTGCCAGTGACCTTGCAAGTATTCTGAGGTCATGTCAGAGAACAGAACATCTCCTTCAGGAATTAACAGAAAAATCTAGCTCTGAGGTGTTATACTTCTGAAATAAGTAAACAAGATCATAAAACACGGGATGATTAGAGTATCTCATTTATATACTTTGTGCCAATATTAAGGGTAGGAAAAGCCATTACTTTTCTATAGAAAATATACTTAAGGATAAATTTTTGAATTTAGAAAGTTTCTGAGTAAAATTCACAGTAATTAGTCCACTAATTATGTGAATATGTATATATTTTTCAGAATTATAATTAATTTCAACATGTTTATTTTTCCCATGAATTAATCAATTCAAATTTGTTTAGCCTATTTGCCACGAAAGTGCCCAAGTTTGTATTTATGTTTTTTTTTCTTTTTCTATGGTTTTATTTGTTTGTTTATTTATTTTTGTATGGATATAGTAGATGTATATATTTATGGGAACATGAGATGTTTTGAAAAAGGCATTTGATGTGTAATAATCACATCAGGGTAAATGGGATATTCATTACCTCAAGTATTTATCGTTTGTGCTACTAACAATCCAATTATATACATTGAGTTATTTTTAAATGTACAATTAAGTTATAATTGACTGTAGTCAATCATAATTGTGCCATCAGATTTGCCAGCACCAATTTTGCTGTCAGCTGCTAGGTCTTATTCATTCTTTCTAACCACTCTTATACCCAGGAGTCATCCTCACTTCGTGCCTTCCCTGCCCCTCACTACCCTTCCCAGCATTTGGTAACCATCTTTCTACCCTATAGCTCCATGGGTTCAATGGCTCCCATAAATAAAAACATGTAAAGCTTGTCTTTCTGCACCTATTTCACTTAACATGATAACCTCCAGTTCTATCTTATATTTATGTTTTAATAGTAGTATGCCATTATTCTTTTTATAAATTTAAATTAATTATATTAAATGATAAGATATTGGCATTTGTGATAAGTAATTCATGAGGATCATATCATTATTTGACTGAATAAAAAGAACCTAACAATTAATTCCTAAAATGGTTTTAATCAGTAATATTATATAATTTACACAAAATAAATTCAAATATCCATTTTAATATTTAAATATTAACACTTTTCTAATTTTTTAGGCTTGGATAAAGCTTTTCAATACCACTTTTCATACCTTTGAAATGAATGTCATCATAGTCAGTGAATTTATTTTACAACTGCCTAATAAACTCTGTGGTTATATTTTCTAAAATACTTTTTTTTGTACCGGACTGAGTCTTTCCTATCAAATAGTCTTTCTTACTTGTGTTCACATTGGCTATCTCCTGTGGACTAGTTAGTGTTTCTTCAGCAATATTTAACTTGTAACTAGAAATCATGCTGTATTCAACCAAATATTAAATTAGTTAACAGCAAGCTGAATAGATTGATTTTAATGTCTAGTTTCTAAAAAGTGTACTACAGATATTTTCTTAATAGGCCTAAAGCCCCAAATCAAGCAAAACCTTATTTAAATCTGTATAACAGGAACTAAAAATAAATCAGTGTTGATGTTGATAATAATTTAACTTTGCATAAGCTTACTACTCTTTTCCTTTCTTTTGACTTCAGATGCAATAACAGAACCCAGTGTGCAGTGGTGGCAGGTCCTGATGTTTTTCCAGACCCGTGTCCAGGAACCTATAAATACCTTGAAGTGCAGTATGAATGTGTCCCTTACAGTATGTATATTCCTGTACTTTTCTTGGAAAGAGAAAAGATATTAAACTGTGTTTTGCATGCATTAACAAATATTCTCTATGAAAACATAAATCACATAAATTTAATGTAAAAATGGGCTAATATTAATTTTTGAGGATCATAGACCCTCCCCGCCATCAGAATTAGATATTGCCTACCCTGTCCTACAGAATTTACTTTTGATTATTTCTGTATATGAGTGCCTATTCTAACACACTTTTCTTAATTAATGCAAGAATATTAAACATTTAGAAAAAGGTTGGGGGAGTGTTATACCAATCCTCCAGGTCCAAGCAGATAAGAATTGAGCATGAACAATACAATTGTATATATAATGTGCAGAAACTGATAAATTTTAAATTTGATAGAAAAATTATATCTAAACTTCATCTGCTGTCAACATTTTGAGAATTAGAAATATTCTCATCCAGAGAGAGTAGACCAGATGGAAAGAAAATATAAAGATTAAAAGAACTAAAGTATTCATTAGACTATATGTTTTATAGTTTCAAGAAGTATATCTTTGCGATGTTTTTGTCAGATATGGTGTATGTCAACAACATATTTTTTTCTTCAGGAATAATGAAGAATCAAAAAATATAAAATCAAACATTTTCTGACTTTCCCACTCAAAATAAGAATCACCATTTCAAAAAAAATTATCTAACTTGTTAATTATTTATGAGTTTCTTAGTGAAAAATAACTCAGAAAATTATGTATTCTTATAATAGATATTCAGCTCATCCCAGAGATAGAAAACACCTGGGATCAAAAACAAATCCCAGGTTTCAACTTCCTTTGATGTTTCATAAGAAGCAATGTATCTGGGGATCAGCAAGTTTACTTTTGTAAAGATACTTCTACGCTTGCCTCATTCATGCTTATTAAAGAAGCAGGACATTATTCATGAGCTGGAAGTATACATACTTCAATAATAGAAATTTTGCCAATAAGAGATGAATTGAAAATTTAAAATAATAATGAAAACAATTGAGAGAAAATTTCATTTAGCTTCATTTATAGAATGATTGATTAGAGAAAGTTTATCTCGTGAAGTTTTATAAACTGATCTTCATTGTTATGAAAACACCTCAAAGTACAGGATTTATTGATATCTCCTTTAGGTTATATGCATCTTACACTGTTATCCCTGTAGGCCCTTCCATGAAAAGATAAAGCCCCTACTGACCGTTACTGTTCACTAGTTATATTTTAAAGAAATAAAATGTGTAAACCATCTTGGAATTGGGACAATTATATTTGGGTTGCATAATAAGACCTTTGAGAAATATAAAGACTCCTGTTCTACAAAGGCATTTTATTTAAAAATCCAATCAGGTGTACCTTGCTTTTAAAGAAAGCTGAAGTGAAATTTCAGATTGTAGATTTTATCATAATTTTTTTTAAATTAAAGAATTTCACAGCTGTCTCTTCAATTTCCTGTAGTCCTTTAGAGTGTCTTTGAGGATAGCCACTTCAAAATCCTCTGCCAAACTCATTCTGAAATATCGTCTACTTAAATCACTTTAATATAAGTAAGAACTTGCTCATACACTTTTGCATAAAAGGATTATGGTTTACCACAGATTTCTTCTCTCTCATAAATTTTTGGAGATGGGCAATTTGGTTCCTTAATATCCTATATTTATAGAATTCTGATAATCCTGAAAGTTTACTGACTGCCTTCGAAATATGTCTATATTATATCAAAATGTTTATCTGATAATTTCATTAAATAAGAATTATACATCAGGTATACCCACTTGCCAGTTTATACACTGGTTTAATTTATAAGTTGTAGCCTGTTCGTGTCTGTTTAAATTATCTGGAGTATGTTTACTTAAAAGTGTAATGCAGAATTGGAATTCATTTAATAAACTTAGCATGATTTGAAAAGAAAATAATTCAAAAGAAAATATAAATCATAAAATAAAATATAGTAACTCGTTTGAAAGGTAGATTAGTTTAGGAGAAAGAACCAGAAATCAGAGTGCATGGGTGTATTTGTTTAGTCTGTTTTGTGTTGCTATAAAGGAATAGCTCAGACTGGGTAATTTAGAAAGAAAAGATGTTTATTTGGCTAAGGATTCTGCAGGCCGTACAAGGATAGCACCAGCATCTACTCAGCTCCTGTTGAGGCCTCAGGGAGATTTTACTCATGGCATAAGGTGAAGGGGGAGCAGGTACATCACATGGAAAGACAAGGAGCTCCCAGACTCTATTTAATAACCAGTTCTCACATGAACTAATTACCATGAAGAAGGCATCAAACCATTAATGAGGGATCTGCCCCCATGACCCAAAGACATCCTGTGTGGCCTGCTTCCAACACTGGAGGTCATATTTCAACATGAGATTTGGAGGGGACACACATAGAACCATATCATTGGGTTTAGAATACAGTCTGATTACTTGACATAAAGCTAGGTCCTTTTCCTGGATCTCACCTTGTAGACCTTCCCTGATCTGTTAATAAATCCTGATTTATAACAACACTGAGCTGTTTTTCTTTTTTTAAGCATAACATCATGACTCTTTAATGGTGAAAAGATTTACTTATTTAAAATAGTTATAGTTTATTGACACTTAACCACATGCCATTTTCTTCATAGATAGTGTTTACATGCATGGTTTATTTAATATTCACAAGATCCTCCCTGTTACATGTATTACCATTTTTCTGAAGAGGAAACTGAAGTTCAGTAGATTAAGTGAAATGTCCCATGTAAAATGTAGACTAGCTAGAGAATGGCAAAGACTAGATTTGAGCCTGTTTCTAGTACCTCTTCTTAAGGACCTAGCTGTATTTGTCTCCATAATTGTTTTTCATTTATATTTTCATGAGATATTTAATCTCCTATAATATTTTTAACTCATAATTTTCATCAGTACCTTAATGGCATGTGGTAAACGAAAGTGCTTCAGGGAGAAGACCTTTTTTCTTAGTCATTTGCCTATTATTTTTAAGGTGTTTTTGTTCGCTTTCTTAAAGCCGCGGAATCACTGCAAATTTTTATTCTCCCACTTTTTGAAACTTTATGGCGTAACTAGTTTGTACCCTGAAAATACTACGTGCAATTTAGAATGAGGATCCTAAGTAAGATAGTTATTTTTAATTACCTGTATTAGAGAAAATCCGTGTGCTTAATGATATTTTTATGATTCTTGATAAGAGATCCCTACTTCATTAGTGTGACAGAATCTTTAGGCTTAGGATTTAATATTAATATTGGAAAATTTTCTCATTAAACAACTGAACAAACAATGTTAGTTTCCGTTTGTTTTACAGTTTAGTAATATCCATTTCTATTTTGGATTTATGGCCACAAACTTTAGTGTTTATAGTAATATATTTAGAATTTATGAATGTTTTATTCTTAATATTGATATGTGGAAGAAACATTATTATTGATTTTTTTTTCTTTATACATACTTGTGTGCGTATGTTTGCATGCCAGTATTGATTTTTAAAGTGAGACTTTTCATGGAAAAAATGTAGAAAAACAAAATTTATAGAAAAACATAATAATAATGAAGCATATTAAAGGTAATATACACAGAGTCAATAAAGTTCATTGTATCACTTGAAAGAAGTAAAGTTTAAAGTATCTGAGAAAACTTGCAATAATTATTGCACAGAATTTTAGGAGTCAAGAGGTTAAACCTTGAGGTTAAACATTCAAGAGGTTAAACCTCACATTTACCAATGACACATTTTTGTTCTTCCTTCTGTCTTCTTCTCACCCTACCTCCTTCCTTTCTGACCTGATTTGAGATTGAAATTGTGGCATCTAGAGCTGCCTTCATTCAGCAGGGTTACAAGGATAAATAGGTACATAATTGAACAATGACAATTTTAGAGGAATCGTAGCATGAATCAATCAAATGATATGATTTTTAAAGATGCCAGTGAGAAAGAAAATAAGAGCTAATTTTTGAACTGTTTACTGGGACCACCTTCTTTGAGTGTTCTGTACTCATTTTTTGAATCACTGAAGTTATATGTAATCTTTTCTAAGTCTTACCTTCTTAGATCTGTTCTGTATTTTCTTGGTTGGGCTCACAGACATACTTTTTCTGACAAAATTTAGAACAAATGAATCGATACTTTTCTCTGTTCCTGGCACACCTTAGTTCCAGTGTGACTTTTGTAGCCTTTGCCTTTTCTTAGGAGGTTTGATATTCTTCCTTAGTGGATATTTTCTCCCCAGGAGATGACCCAAATATTCAAGAGGTTAAACCTCACATTTACCAATGACACATTTTTGTTCTTCCATCTTTCTTCTTCTTCTCATCCTACCTCTTTCCCTTCTGACCTGATTTGAGATTGAAATTGTGGCATCTAGAGCTGCCTTCATTCAGCAGGGTTACAAGGATGACTTGTGTTAGAGAGAAAACAATAAAACAACTAACTCCCTACTCAGAGTATTTCTGAGCAAAGCATCTTTACTTTGTATCCTGCTGACAAATTGTCTTTCTTGGGAGGCATACAATTTCATGCACATTACACTCAAAAGGTGTTTGTCTTCTCTCAGAATCCAGCTTTTCTATTCAATTCTTTCTCTTTTTTTTTGGAAGTATAAAGCATATATTACGTATTCTAGCAATCTCCTCTCATGGTGAATTTTCTTAGGAAATTGTATGCAATTTGAAGATGAACTAGAAATGTGTGTTTGATTAAAACAACCTTGTTATAGCACTTAAGACTTTCTCACTAGTCAGTTAGCCATTTGAATAGTTGTGTGTATGATTATCTTTAGGAGCAGGCATGAAAGATAAACATAATTGGAAAATTGATATTTATAAATAATTATGTAACTTTCATCTTTTTTACTAAAAGAAAAATGTATTACACGTTTAGCATTTAAAATAATTTAAATATTTAATTACAAACAATTAAATATATTTTGCAACTAATGTCCCAATGAGTGCATATTTAAATTTGTACACATTTAGTTCCTGTTATGTAAATAAAGTTAC